CTTCTGATCTGGAGAATGAATGGGCGACCACAGTAATTGTGGGGCGTAACCTGATGGACATCTCCCCCCCTGAAGGGACCCAAGTGCCTGCTGGCCACAGCTAAAGTTCTCCAAACTTTCTGGAAGGAGAGAAATGAAACATACCTTTAAAAAATATATTTTATTGATTTTTACAGAGAGGAAGGGAGAGGGTAGAGAATTGGAAACGTTGATGAGAAAGAAACATCGATCAGCTGCCTCGTGCACCCCTTCTTTCCCTCCCCCCCCCCACACCCCGACTGGGGGATGTGCCCGCAACCAAGCTACATGCCCTTGAACGGAATCAAACCTGGGACCCTTCAGTCTGCAGGCTGATGCTCTATCCACTGAGCCAAATCAGGAGGACAAAACATACTTTGAAATAAGGTACTGAGAGAGCAGAGCAAGGTGTTTCACTGTAAGTGGAACATGAGCACTGTGGGGGAGTGAGCAGTTTCTCTGCCGTGGTCAAGTCACCACAGTGAAGGTGTGAGTCTCCTGGAACTGCCAAAACCAAGTAAACACTCCATGTTGCAGACCTTCACTTAGTGGACTTCAGATTTAATGGACAAAATTTCCCGGCCGTATGTCACAGGTGAAAATTAACGCCCTGTTAATTTTACAATGTTTTTAACTCAGATTAGCTTATAATGAAATTAACAGAGGTTTTTCTTATTAATTCACTGGTTTTGGTGTGTGTGTGTTTTGTTAATCCTTACCCAAGGATATTTTCTCAATTGATTTGAGAGAAAGAGAGAGAGAGAGAGAGAGAGAGAGAGAGAGAGAGAGAGAGAGAGAGAAATTGGTCGCCTCCTGCACACGCCCTGACAAGGGCCAAGATCAAACCTGCAACCCAGGTAAGTGCCCTTGACCTGGATCAAACCCAAGACCCTTTGGTGCCCAGGTTGACACTCTAACCACTGAGCATCACTGGCCAGGGCTATGCTGTTTTGTGAGTTGTTGTTTTCTTTAATTTAAGCCCAGTTAGCCACCAGGAGCCCTTCTTAGTAGGTGTTTTATTTTCTTTTAACAATTTTTTTTAATTTTATTGATTTTACACAGAGGAATTGAGAGGGATAAAGTGCTAGAAACATCGATGAGAGAGAAACATCGACCAGCTGCCTCTTGCACAACTCCCACTGGGGATGTACCCCCAACCAAGGTACATGCCCTTGACTGAAATCGAACCCGGGATCTTTCAGTCCACAGGCCGACACTCTATCCATTGAGCCAAACTGGTTTCAGCAGGTGTTTTATTTTCCTTAGGGCTCACAGTCACATCTAGAGATCCTTAACTTGGTTACATCTTTAAATGTTGTTATTCCTCCAAATAAGGTCACAGTCACAGGTCCTTCGGGTTGGAACTGTTTGGGGGCCATCATTCCAACCACTACAGCTGGATAAAGGATTAGCACAGTGGTTCTCACCTGGCCCCTGGGGACACGTGGCAACATTTGGAGACATTTTAATTGTCACAACTAGGAAAGGGGGAGTGCACTAGGAAAGTGGGCAGAGGCCGGGGGGCTGCTAACATCCTGTCATGTACAGGACAACCCCACACCACAAAGAATGACCTGGCCCCAAGTGGCCAGGGTGCTGCCTTTTGAGAATTCTGGTGGAGCTGATGGCTTCAGTCACGCTGGAATTGGCTCTGCAGCCTGACACCGTCCTTCATGGGGTGATTAGTCAGCGGGTCAGCTCCTGCCAGGCTCCGTGCTTCCCCGTAAAACGGGACAACACTGCATGGGCCTTGCAGACTGTGCTGAGGACACGGGCCTGGCACCTCATCAGCATGGCAGAAGGGTTCACTGCAGAGACGGTTCTGCTCTCAGTGCCCTCTCGAATTCCCAGCAGGCCTGGATTTCCCAGGGTTCTGGCAAAGGCGACGGGAAAGACATCTGACTAGGAAAGTGTTTCCACATGGAGAGAGGCAGGCACATCTGGAAGGGATCCATGCATGGAGCCTTGACAGTGTGAAGTAAACTCTTGGCAATGAGGATTTTGTGGTTTTCCTTTTTTTATTTTTATTTTTAATATATTTTATTGATTTTTCACAGAGAGGAAGGGAGAGGGATAGAGAGTTAGAAACATTGATGAGAAACATCGATCAGCTGCCTCTTGCACACCCGCTCCTGGGGATGTGCCCGCAACCAAGGTACATGCCCTTGACAGGAATCGAACCCGGGACCTTTCAGTCCGCAGGCCGACGCTTTAGCCACCGAGCCAAACCAGTTTCAGCTGTGGTTTTCCTTTTATTGTGTAAATCCAATAATACCAAGTTTCCTTCAGGGTCTCCCACGTTTCCCCTGGCCCCAAAAAATCCTCTAGAGCAGGCGTTTTCGTAAGCTACTGCTGCGTAACAAATTACCCCAAACCCGGTGGCTTCATACTGTCACCAGAAAGGGGCCGGGACTGAGGAAGGTCTGCCCTGGGGCAGTCTGGAATATCTGGGTTCTTGACTCTGTGCAGGAGTTCACGATTTGAGTCCAGGTGATTTGGAGAGCACATTTGCGAAAGCCGGGGTCAGTGAAACAAAGGAAGGACTTAAGAAAGAAGAGGCAATAAGAGTGAGCTTAGGCGGAGCTGCCTGGACTCAGGAAAGGAAGTCACAGTGACAGAAATGAATGCACTGGGCCGTGTGGACTCAGGAAACACGTTACAGAGGCAAAAGGGGGGCCCTTGGAGGTAAATTCAGGGAGTTAGCCTGAAACAAGTTGCTGCTGCCTGCTGCTCCGCTGGTTGCAAGTCTTGTAGAACCCCTGGGAGATTAGGGGTGAAAAAGCAAAAGACACACGCCTCAGGAAAGGGGAGGAGGGCATGGGTGAGCTCACGGGAGAGCCAGCACTGGCATCCTTTCTTTAAAATATATTTTATTGATTTTTTACAGAGAGGAAGGGAGAGGGATAGAAACATCGATGAGGGAGAAACATTGATCAGCTGCCTCCTGCACACCCCTTACTGGGGATATGTCCACAACCAAGGTCTATGCCCTTGATTGGAATCTAACCTGGGACCCTTCAGTCCGTAGGCTGACGCTCTATCCACTGAGCCAAACCCATCAGGGCAGAACTGGCATCCTTTATCTCAAGGGGTTTTTGTATTCTTTAAATATATCACACACTGCCGAAACCGGTTTGGCTCAGTGGTAGAGTGACGGTCCGATTCCGGTCAAGGGCACATCCCCGGTGTGCAAGAGGCACCTGGTCGATGTTTCTCTCTCATCGACGTTTCTAGCTCTCTATCCCTCTCCCTTCCTCTCTGTAAAAAATCAATAAAATATATTTTAAATAAATAAATATATATATATATATATATATATATATATATATATATATATATATCTCACACACACAATTATTATTATTATTGATTTCTGAAAGAGAAGGGAGGAGAGAGAGAAACATCAATGATGAGTGGACACCCCCTTACTGGAGACTGAGCCTGCAACCTGGGCACGTTCCCTGACCAGGAATTGAACCTCCATCTCTTGGTTCATAGGTGGACCTACGCTAACCACTGAGAACACCAGCTGGACAAGGCTTAGCCATTGTTTATATACACTATTTGCTTAATCACACATTGATTTCTCCTTTGCAATCGGCTACAGTTTATCTGGTTGGGTTCCTGTCAAGCTCACCCTGTTTCCAGCTGTCTGCAAAAACTCTGTGTGTGCTGCATGTTAACATTCAGTAGTAACGTTTAGAGCTGCCCCGACCTTGACATCCTTGTCCTCTCTAATTCTGGGAGCATCTGGAGGAAGCACTCCAAGAGAGGGACCGCGGGAGGGGAGAGCCATCCTGCACACTCACACCTTCTGCCACATTCTATTGATGGAAACAAGCCACAAGCCAGCCTGGAGTCAAGGAGAGGGGAACGGGTTTCCATCTCCTGGAGGAAGGGGCTGCAAAATACGATGGCCATGATTTCCAACCTTGCACATCAGGGGACCGTAAGGTGGATCCCGTCCTGACAGAATTCAGGGGGCGGGGAGTCATCTTTATTTTCATTCACTTCTCACTGGAATCTAGCAAGCCTCTCAAGCCTGGCAAAGCAGGTGTGAGCTGGTCCTGTGACCTTTTCACCCGTGGAAACCCAAGGTAACTTCACTTCACATCCTGGTCATGGCAGACACCTCAAAATACCACTTACCCTCACCTCCACTGGAGATTGCAGTGACTAGCAGAGCCCCGGGGAATCAGGGTTGCTTAGTGTGTTCATGAAGAAGCTTGTGTGTTTACATCGCATAGGAAAAAGTTTCATGCCATACGTCAGTCTGATGGGTTTCCTTTGCAGTCCTGTGCATTTTTAATATATTTTAATTGATTTTTTTACAGAGGGGAAGGGAAGAGAACTAGAGAGTTAGAAACATCAATGAGAGAGAAACATTCATCAGCTGCCTTCTGCACGCCCCCCATTGGGGATGTGCCCGCAACCAAGGTAGATGCCCTTGACCTGAATCGAACCTGGGACCCTTCAGTCCACAAGCTGATGCTCTATACTAGGGGTGTCAAACTCAATCAGAGAAGGGGCCAAAATCTAAAATCCAGCCTAAATCGCGGGCTGAATGGTTTACTGAACAATCATAAACTGTCATTGTGATGGAAACGCAGCGGAGTGCAGTGATGACAGCGCGGTGCAGGCCACATTGCAAGGCCTGGCGGGACGGATTTGGCCCGCGGGCCTTGTGTTTGACACATGTGCTCTATACACTGAGCCAAACTGGTTTGAGCTAGTCCTGTGCATTTTTATTTTATTTTATTTTAAAATATATTTTATTGATTTTTTACAGAGAGGAAGGGAGAGGGATAGAGAGCTAGAAACATCGATGAGAGAGAAACATTGAGCAGCTGCCTCCTGCACACCCCCTACTGGGGATATGCCCACAACCAAGGTACATGCCCTTGACCTGAATCGAACCTGGGACCTTTCAATCCGCAAGCTGACGCTCTATCCAGTGAGCCAAACTGGTTTAGACTAGTCCTGGGCATTTTTTAAATGCACCTGCAGTTATCCCTTGAGACAGGGCCCTGGCAGCTGCCCTCTGCCCTGGGAGGCTCTGCAGAATCAGGTCAGAATCAGGTCATGGCTCAGGCAGATTAGCAAGGCCCCGAACTGACCTCCTAAGGATCCCTAATCCCGGGACAGCAGCCAGCCAGCAGGCGCAGGGCCGCTTGGTCCTGCACCCGCTCCCAGGCCCTCGCCGGGGCTGCCATGGCCGCCCTGTTCTCTGGCCGGGTTCTGATCCGAAACAACGGCGACCAGGACGAGCTGGACACAGAGGCGGAGCTCAGCCGCAGGCTGGACAACCGGCTGGTGCTGCTGTTCTTCGGCGCCGGGTCCTGCCCGCGCTGCCAGGCCTTCGCGCCCGTCCTCAGGGACTTCTTCACTCGGCTCACGGATGAGTTCTACGTGCTGCGGGCGGCCCAGCTGGCCCTGGTGTACGTGTCCCAGGACACCACCGAGGAGCAGCAGGACCTGTTCCTCAAGGACATGCCCAGGAAGTGGCTCTTCCTGCCCTTTGAGGACGACCTGAGGAGGTGAGGGGGGAGGGAGGTCAGGGAGGGCTTCCTGGAGGAGGGGGTGTTTCTGCTGTGAAGTGTTTTTTTGTTTGTTTTATTGACGACAGTATTACAGATGTCCCCCACTTTTCCCCCTCCACCTAGTCCCCACCCCAATCCAGGCCTTCACCGAACTATTGTCTCTGTCCATAAGCTATGCATATAAGTTCTTTGGTTAATCTCTCCCTGCTCCCCTCCTCCTCTCCCCTCTGAGATCTATCAGTCTGTTCCAGGCATCCATGCCTCTGGACCTATCCTGTTTATTGATTTTTTTTTTTTCTTTTCAGAGAGGAAGGGAGAGGGATAGAGAGCTAGAAACATCAATGAGAGAGAAACATCAACCAACTGCTTCCTGCACAGCCCCTACTGGGGATGTGCCCTCAACCAAGGTACATGCCCTTGACCGGAATCGAACCCCAGACCTTTCAGTCCCAGGCCGACGCTCTACCACTGACCCAAACCGGTTCTGGCTGTTTATTGTTCTTTAGGTTCCACATATAAATGAGATCATGGGAAATTTATCTTTTTCTGGCTGGCTTATTTCGTTTAGCATTAATAGTCTTCAAGTCCATCCATGCTGTTGCAAAGGGCAAGAGGTCCTTCCTTTTTACAGCTGCAGTGTTCCATTGTGTAAATGTACCACAGCTTTTTTATCCACTCATCTACTGATGGGCACTTGGGCTGTTTCCAGATCATAGCGATTGTAAATAACTGCTACGAGCAAAAGATTGCATATATTCTTTCTGATTGGTATTTCGGAATTCTTAGGATATATTCCCAGAAGTGGGATCGCTGGGTTAATTTTTAATTTTTTTTTAATTTTTTGAGGAAACTCCATACTGTTTTCCATAGTGGCTGTGCCAGTCTGCATCCTTGCCAGCACTTCCTGTTTGTTGATTTATTGATGGTAGCCATTCTGGCAGGTGTGAGGTGATACCTCGTGGTTTTATTTTGCATCTCTCTGATGATTAGTGATGTTGAACATTTTTTCATGACTATGGGCCATCTATATGTCCTCTTTGGAGAAGTGTCTACTCAGGTCCTTTGCCTATTTTAATATTTTATTGCTTTCAGAGAAAAAGGGAGAGGGAGAGAGAGATAGAAACATCAATGATGAGAGAGAATCATTGATCGACTTCCTCCTGCATAGCCCACACTAGGGATGGAGCCCACAACCCAGGCACGTGCCCTTGACTGAAATCGAACCTGGGACCCTTCAGCCCACTGAGCCAAACCAGCTAGGGCTATGGCTATTTTAGAACTTTCCCCTTTTCTGCAGTAAGCCTTTCACTCTTTTTTAAACCCCAACTTTTTATTATGAAAATTTTCAAAAAAGTTGTAAGAAGCACACAAGGAAACGCTAGGTCATTGTTAACATGTTGCCATAGTTGCTGTATCTACTGGTACATATGCACGAAGTTCGTGCTGAAACATTTGAAAGTGAGCTGCAGACTTCGGGACATTTTCTGATTTCATTCATTTTGTAACAAAGTTTCTGGTCATGAAGAACTTCATTCTCCACCCAAGATTAGTTTGGACATTGGCTCACTCCCACTGCCCTCTGCAGCTGATGGGGGAGACGGGGGTCGGGGTCCTGTCCCCAGAAGTGGCAACATTGCCCTCCCCGAGGCAGAAATGCCAGCTGCCAGGGCATCGTGGAAAAGGCTGACCTTGTTTGAGACACTCCTTTCAACAAAACAGGCACCCAGCTGGTAACTGAAGTGAGCCTATTCCAACCCTCCACCCCAACCCACCCACCCGCCCACCCCACCTGCAGGATTGCCAGATAGAGATGCCCAGTAAAACACAGATTTCACTATGAATAATTTCTTAGTATAAGCTTGTCCTACGTATTACAAGGGAGGCCCGGTGCACGAAGATTCGTGCAAGAATGGGCCTTCCACCGGGACCGGTTTGGCTCAGTGGATAGAGCGTCGGCCTGCGGACTGAAAGGTCCCGGGTTCGATTCCAGGCAAGGGCATGTACCTTGGTTGCGGGCACATCCCCTGTGGGGGGTGTGCAAGAGGCAGCTGGTTGATGTTTCTCTCTCATCGACGTTTCTAACTCTCTGTCCCTCTTATTTTTTTTTTAAATCAATCTTTATTGTTCATATTATTACAAAGGTTCCTCATTTCTTCCTCCCTCCACCAGGTTCCCACCCCACCTTCCTCCCCCTCCCCATCCCCCATTGTCCTCATCCATAGGTGCACAGTTTATGTTCAGTCTCTTCCTCCCTCCCTTTCCCCAATAGTAAATCCCTTTTCAGATAGTAAATCTGTTACTTAGCATTTTCTCATATCAATAATACCTCCACATGCCCAATGATACACTTCACACAAAAAACATTTCCAAATAGGTCAACCAGCCTCATCCAGGCCCCACCCAAGGCACTCACAGATCAACACCCCAGCCCTATACTAACTCAACACATCCAGATCTAAGCCTTCATCACTTGATTCAGCAGACCCTCAAGTTCCCACAAAAGTTTCCAGCCATGTCTGAGAGGCAGCCGTGGGGCAGGGGCAGGTGAGAAGCGAGCTGTTTCAGGCCTGGCTGCTTCAGGCCTGGCCTCTGTTGCTCTGGTTTGTTTCACAACCAGCTGCTCCGGGTCTGGCCACTGCCGCTCTCGACCTAGTTGCTCTGGACTTGGATGTTGCTGCTCCAGGCCTGGCCGCACCCAACCCGGCTGCTCTGGCCCTCTTAATTCCTCTCTGTGTAAAATCAATAAAATATATTAAAAAAAAAAAATGGGCCTTCCATCCCCTGGCTGCCAGCACTGCCTTTGCTTTGGCCCGGAGCCGCCTTTCTGCCCTCCCACGCTGCCCAGAGGCCCGGAGTGGCTGGGGCGGTGTGGAATGCCTGCATCATCGCCATGGTGACGGTGCAAGTGCCCTGCCCTGCCCCCAGCCACTTGGCGCCTGTGTATGCAAATTAACCCACCATCTTTGTTGGGTTGATTTGCATGCTGGCTCCTGATTGGCTGGTGGGCATCACAAAGGTATGGTCAATTTGCATCTTACTCTTTTATTAGTGTAGATTATTTGTTTATATGAGATCCATACTTCACTGGGTGTCCTGTATTTTCACTTGCTGTCAGGCCACCTGCCCCTGTGGGGTTTTGCAGGTATCCTGTGTTCTCAGCGTGGAGGCTGGAAAAGGGCCATCGGCGAACCGAGGGGGCGGGAATTAAGGACCGAGGGTGAGGCTTTCCCTCGCCTCTTCCCCACGGGAGTTAGCCTTGCCTTTCTCTCTCCTAAGCCGAAGGGCCCTTCTTCTGCCTCTAACTTGTTTCCTGAGCCTACGCAGTCCAGCTGGCTTGCTTCTGCTACTTCTGTAACTTTCTATTATAATTTGGAGAAAAAAGAAAGAACCGTGGGTGATGGGCCCAGTCTGGCTCCCTTTACTCCACGCAGACGGTGAGGGATTCTGGCCTAGACGGGTCCTGGATCTCCTGCGGCTGCGGATGGTTCTCACCAGCTTCCCCCTCAGACTGAAAAGGAAACGTTGTGGCCCTCTCCTCCCACCTCAGGGCCTTTGCCTGGGACCCCTACACCTTCTGCCTGGGACCCTTCCCCCAGCTTCCCCGGCCTGTCCCCTTCCTCCTGCAGATCTCAGCTCAAAGGTCACCTCCTGGGAGAGGCCCTCCCTCACCACCAGCCCCTTACTCACACTTCTTTATGGCATTTATCAATATTCATTCGTCCCTCCCCCACATTTCCTGAGTACCTACTTTGCGTCCCACACTGTTTCAGGCACTGGAGACACCAGTGAGTAAGAACAGAACCCCATGCCCTGGCGAAGCTGGTTGTACTGAGGGAGGAAGGGAGAGATCACCAGTGCAATGTGCTGGGTGCTGAGAGGCCCGGAACAGCAGGGGGAACGGAGGTGCTGCGGGGTGAGGTTGGGCCTCCATGGGGAGAGGTCCGGGAAGGTGCTCAGGCAGAGCAGACAGGAGGCGGCCGTGTGAAGTCCCTGAGATGCTGCCGCTATGGCCTGGCCTGGTCCGGGCAGTGCCCGGGGGCGTCCAGGGGGGTGGCTCCAGGCTGGGGGTCACCGGCCTGCCGCCCTGCAGGGACCTCGGGCGCCGGTTCTCGGTGGAGCGGCTGCCCGCCGTCGTGGTGCTCAAGCCGAGCGGGGAGGTGCTCACGCGCGACGCGACCGAGGAGATCCGGCGCCTGGGCCCCGCCTGCTTCGCCAACTGGCAGGAGGCGGCGGAGCTGCTGGACCGCGGCTTCCTGCCGCCCGAGGACCTGGACGACCCCGCGCCCCGCAGCCTCACCGACCCGCTGCGCCGCCGCAAGTACCGCGTGGACCGGGCGGGGCGGGGTGCGCAGGGCCGGGCCGCGGGGGGCTCCCCCGGGTCCGAGGGCGGCGCCGGGGAGCTGTTCTGACCTGGGGCTGGGGGGGGGGGGCGGCAAAGGGGGGGCTATGATGACACCTCCGAGGAGGCGGGGGTGGGATGGGGGTGTTCTGACCCCCTGGCGGGGCGGGTCTATGGGGCGCCCTCACCCCTCACCCCTTAACCCTTCCCCGGCGGTGCGTGGGGCCGGGGCTACTCTCAGCTCCCCAAGGTGGAACCAGAGGCGAGGACGGCGGAATCAGACGGGCACACAGGGTGCGCGGGGAGGGACCATCCTGAGTTCTGTCCTGAGGTGGGGCCCCAGCAGGAGGCCCTAACAGGGAGGGGGAGTGTAGGGGGGAGGGGTTTAGGGGGAAAGAAAAAGTCCAGAGTTCTCCAGATGGCGGGAAAGGCCCGTGGGGAGTGGGAAGGGTCTTTTGTTGTTGTTACTCTTCACCCTGGGACATTCTTTCAATTGATTTTTTAAAAAAAGTATTTTATTGATTTTTTACAGAGAGGAAGAGAGAGGGATAGAGAGTTAGAAACATCAATGAGAGAGAATCATCAATCAGCTGCCTCTTGCACAGATGTGCCCGCAACCAAGGTACATGCCCTTGACTGGAATCGAACCTGGGACCTTTCAGTCCGCAGGCTGACGCTCTATCCACTAAGCCAAACCGGTTTTGGCTCCATTGAGTTTTTAAAGATATAGTGAAAGGGAGGGAGGGGGGGCCGGGGCCGGGGGGGGGGGGGGGGGGGGGGGGAAGAGGGGGAATGGATGTGAGGCACATTGATTGGTTGCCTCCCACACGCCCCTGCATCCCAGTTACTTGCCCTTGACCAGGAATCAAACACAAGATCCTTCATGAGCAGATGCTCTACCCACTGACCCAGGCCGGTCAGGGCGGAGGAGGGTGTTTCTGAGGCCCAGGGTGGGAACTGGAGGAGTCTGTTCTGATTGGGCACCCCCCCCCACCCGCCCCCGCCCCCAGGTGAAGGGTGGGACCTGCGGCTGGACAGAGGTCTGGCTGTGAGATTCCCTCTCCCAAAAGGGGGCGGACCCAGGCCTGTCCTGTCCTTCGGAGGCGCGTCTGAGCCTTCCGTCCCCGGCTCCGGAAAGATTGTTAAGACCTGGGTGAGGTGGAATGGTTACTGAGTCCACCATGGGAAAATGCAAGTAAAATAGAATAATGGTGCTGAGCACGCTCAGCCCATCTTCCGTGAAATGAGATGTCCGTGTGCAATTGTGCACCTGAAACCTGTATAATTTTGTTAGGCAGTGTCACCCCAATACATTCAATAAAAGGGGGGAAATGAGTGGTCCATATGTCTATTTAAATATGCAACACTACAATCCTTTATCGTTTATATGGGAGATGCATTTCAATAGTTAGTGCCATGGATGCTGGGGTCCCGAATGTTCCCGGAGAGACAACAGGATCCTACATAATAAAGAGCTAATAACGGTAATTAGGTCGAACTGCAGAACGACAGTCCGGACAACCTTCCGGACAAAATCTGGGCTGCAAGAGCCGAGCCCCTTGCACGAATTTCAAACATCAGGCTTTTAGTTCAATGATTCTCTCTCATCGATGTTTCTAACTCTCTATCCCTCTCTCTTCCTTTCTGTAAAAAAAAAAAATCAATAAAACGTATTTTAAAAAAAATCAAAACTCCAGTCTGGAACCGGTAAGACTAGGACAGTCTTGGCTGTAAGACTAGGACAGTCACCTCCCATCTCTAAGCCTCCTTTCTTCCTTCTGAAAAATGACACGAAGGCTGGGTCCTATCTGGCGGGTCCCCCGAGGACTTGAGCTATCTAGGCGCCAGGAACCTCTCGGTTTTGCCTCTGGCGCCACCTGAGGGAGGGATGCGGAGCCAAGTTCTCGGGAGGCGGAGCCAAACCTGTAAATGAGATGGAAACCCCTTCCCTGCGCCTGATCTCCAGAAAAGTCCAGACTGCCACTGCTCTGGGCCTGGGAGGCCCGGGACCGGACTGGTGAGCGCCCTATTTTATCCTCACCCCGAATCCCCGCTCTCCGAGTGAGGACAGGGAGGATCAGCCGGCCATGCCGCCTATCTCAGGCTCCAGCCGGGCTTCCCTCTGCGGACCCCTGTCCGCCACCTGTGCATCGGACCCTGTGGGATAACGGCTCTTAAACCCGGGACAGCCGACAGCAGGGTGCAGACTCACCTGCAGCTTTGGGCAGACAGCGGTTCTGTGGGGTTTTCATTGATGAGAGGGAGAGAGATGGCACATGCCCTGACTAGGCATGGGCCCGACCCGAATTTACCGGGCAACGTCTCCGGGGACCCAGAGGATGATCCGACGAACCGAGGGGGCCGGGGCACAACAACAATGAAACAGGTGCTTGGGCCGGAGGCGGGGTGCTTTAGAGACCTCTAGGGGTCCCTGCAGGGAACTACCACGCCCCTGCCCCTCGTGGGGGGGCACCCCCTCCCCTATTGGCCCCGCCCCCGCCGGCCCCTCCCCGCTGGCACCGGGGCGGGAGGGGAAGAAAGATTGTCTCAAGTTTTCGCAGAGCTTCCTCGTCCCCAGTGCGACCCGAACCCAGAAGCTCCTGAAGTCACCCCCACTTTCCAACGCCCCTGCGCCCCCGTCCCCTTCAGGACCCCCGTCCTCTCCCGCCCCCCAACTCCCCTGCCCCCTGGACATCTCCGGCCCCTCGACGGCCCCGCCCGCCCCCATGGTCCGCTCCTACAGCGACAGGGCGCTGGCCGCGCTGGTCCTGCTGGGGGTGCCGGCGGCCGTGCTGGCGGCGCTGGGCGCGCAGCTGCTGTTCCAGCTGCAGGCCGGCCGCGCCGAGCTGCGGGGGGCGCGCGCCGACGGGCTGGGCGCGGAGCTGGGCGCGGGGCCGGGGCTGCCCGAGGACGCGGCCGGGGCGCTGCTGCCGCTGGCCGCCGCGCTGGCCGCGCTGGTCCTGGTGCTGAGCCTCGCCTGCCTGCTGCTCGCCGCGCTCTGCGGCCACCTGGGCGCCGAGCTGGCCCGCGGGCCCGGCTCCGGCAGGTAGGAGGACTGGCGAGCCCAGGAGAGCCACTACCACTCTCTGGGCCTCAGGTTGGGGGGTGGGGGGATGGCTTTCCTTCCTTCCCCATCCCTCCATCCATGTACCCTTCCCCCCTCCCTCCTTTCTTCCATCCCTGCCTCCCTCTCTCTGTTCTGTTATTGAAAATGTACAGCAGGTGGAACTACTGCTGCGACCCTCCTCCTCCCCGCCCCACGCCCCGCCCGCTTTACATATGTGCCCACGGAGGCTCAGAGAGGGCCAGGGGGCGGCTAGCTCTCTGGCGGAAGCTCTTGTCCTTCAGGGGGGATTGGGCTCTGAGTGCAAAGAGACCCTGGGTCAGGCTTAGGGTTGATAGTGATGGGTCCATGAGTGGGTGGATGGGTGCATGGATGGGTGGATTAGTGGCCGGATGAGTTTATAGGGCGTGGTTAAATGGATGGGTAGCTATATGGCTGAATAATCGACAGGAATGGATGGATGGTGAATGGTGGCAAACATTCACCTGGAACAATGGGTGAGTGTCCAGAATGGATCCTCACACAGATCTTGTTTCCCCCAAAGCTGGGCCGCTCCCTCCCTCTCTCCCCAGCCTCCCCCAGCCAGCTCCACCCCAGAGCCCTCTCTTCCTGCCCCTCCCCCAGCCAGCTCCACCCCAGAGTCCCTCTTCTTGCCCCTCCCCCAGGTCTGACTGGTTCTTCTACGACTGCCGCCTCCTCAGGCACGTGGCCGTGGGCCTCTTCTGCTGCGGGGTCTCCGTCTACCTGGCAGGTGCGTGCTGGGGCAGGACGTGGGTGCAGGGGCCCTGGGTGGGGATGGCCAGGGCTGATGATCCCATTACTGGGTCAACTCTGGAGCCCCCATGCCAGTGTTTTTCTCACTGGGGGGCGGGGGAGTCGTCTTGGGAAAATTCCTTCTGTGCCTCAGTTTCCTCATCAGTACAATGGGATGGTAACAGTTTGTTGCTTCATAGAATTGCAGAGAGGATTTTGAGTTAATCCCCCTAAAAGCCCACAGATGGCATCTGGCTCCAGAGGGGTGGGGGTGGAGGTGGGGGGGGGGGTGGGGATTCATAAGTAGTACCTGTCTTCAGAACACTCCTGATTCTTCAGTTTTCTACTTTTGGTTTTGAACAAAACTTTCTATGTCCTTGGTAGTTTCAGGAGATAGTTTCAGAGGTTGGTCTTAGCAAAAAACTCTTTTGGTTACAAATATATACCAGAACTTTCAGCTCAAGAATGGCTTAAGGAGCTGGTGGGGGTTGGGAGGGCGGGGGGAGATACTCTGTATAAACCAGAAATGCAATGTAAAACCCCCAAGCATGAAGGAGAGTAAAAACAATTAGCTGGCTGCCAGAGGACACATCACCCTCTTTTCCTCCCTGACTTTTATTATTTATTTATTTATTTATTTATTTATTAAATATATTTTATTGATTTTTTACAGAGAGAAAGGGAGAGATATAGAGAGCTAGAAACGTCGATGAGAGAGAAACATTGACCAGCTGCCTCTTGCACTCCCCCCACTGGGGATGCGCCCGCAACTCAGGTACATGCCCTTAACCAGAATCTAACCCGGGACCCTGCAGTCCGCAGACCAATGCTCTACCACTGAGCCAAACCGGTTTCTGCCCTCCCTGACTTTTAATACCTTAGATCAGTGTTCTCACCCACACCTGCTGGTAAAGGCATCAAATCATCAAGTTTCTTTAAAGAGACTCCGGACGTGTTATATTTTGTTATAATCTTGACAAATCTTCAGGAGACACAATTAAAATACATACTTATGAGATGTGAGCGTAGGGCTCACTCTGGGAATTTGTATGTGAAGTGCAGGGAACTCTGCTTAACTTTTGTTGTTTGGCTTAAGAAAATGCTCCAGACATGGAATGTGTGTTGTTTTTTTAAAGGAGAGTAGAGCCCTAGCCGGTTTTCCCAGTGGTTAGAGCATCAGCTCTGTGACTGAAGGGTCCCAGGTTCAATTATGGCCATGGACACATACCTCAGTGACAGGCCTGACCCCTGGCCTTGGGTCGGGGTGCATGTAGGAGGCAACCAAGGGATAGGAGATGTTTCTCTCTCTGTCTCTTCCCCTTCCTTCCACTCTCTCTAAAAATCAATGGAAAAAGTACCCTTGAGTGAGGATTAACAACAACAAAGAGAGTGGATGGGGTGACTATCTGAAGAGACCAGGGGATTGTTGGCCCCAGATGGGATTGAATCCAGCTGCTCAAACCAGGCCATCAGAAATGCCTCCAGCTTCCCCTTAGAAAGATGCTTGCATCCGTGCTTTTGACAAAATGCCTACAACCTCCCGTCTTTTCATGAGCCAGCAAACATGTTGGAGACTTATAGAATAAAGTATCCTCATTTTAATATATTTTAATTGATTTTTTACAGAGAGAAAGGGAGAGAAATAGAGAGCTAGAAATGTCAATGAGAGAGAATCACCGACCAGCTGCCTCTTGCACACCCCCTACCGGGGATGTGCCCACAACCAATGTACATGCCCTTGACCGGAATCGAACCTGGGACCTTTCAGTCCGCAGACCGACGCTCTACCACTGAGCCAAACCAGTTTTGGCAAAGTATCCTCATTTTAAAATATGAGAAAACTCACAAAGCGGGGGAGGTAACTATGTCAGTCTCATCAAGCATTAGAGTAAGAATTCATTCAGCTCCCATTTAGAGTCTGTCTGAGGTTAGGAGACCTCACTTGGCAAGAATCCCCCCATCTGGCCAGTCAACCCTCCATTCACTGCTAACCAGAGCCAAAAGAATAATTATAAAGACCTTTTCAAAACTGTTCAGAGCCCTGACCGGTTTGGCTCAGTGGATAGAGCGTCGGCCTGCATACTCAAGGGTCCCAGGTTTGATTCCGGTCAGGGGCATGTACCTTGGTTGCGAGCACATCCCCAGTAGGCGGTGTGGAGGAGGCAGCTGATAGATGTTACTCTCTCATCAGTGTTTCTAACTCTGTCACTCTCCCTTCCTCTCTGTAAAAAATCAATAAAATGGAATGTTCAGAGCCGCACGCTCTTTCTCCCTTGAGCACACCTCCGCCTGCCCCCCTCTCCTTCCCAGGCTCTGTGGATAGAGTGTGTCCTCTCTTTCTTTGTCCTAGGCTCCAGGGGCCCTTCTTTTGCCTCTGTAACTCGTTTCCTATGCCCACATAGCCCAGTTGGCTCACGTCTTCCACCACTGTAACCTTCTAAGTATACTGTCTCTTATAATTTGAAAAAGCAATTGTTTAGAGTGAAAACGTCCTTGGCCTTACTTTAATATCAGATACAATGTGTCATCTTCAAAAGCAAGAGGACAGAGCCAAAGAAGGCATAAAAACACCCCCATAAGGTGCCAGGAAATCCTCTGTCAGCCCTCGGCTTCTCTCACAAGTTCCCCAGGGGTTGCACTAAGAAAATGTCTGGGTTCTCACATCCCAAACAAAAGTCTTAGCGCTGAACTCTAATTGGCTGAGCTTGGGTCATGTGAAAGCCCTGCACCAATCACTACAAGACAGGAAGCAATGGTCTGATTGGCCACGCCTAGCACTCTACAGGTCACTGATGCCACAGGGGTGGGGTGGGTCCGAGCTTCTAGACCAGCCTCCAGGGTGGGGACGGGGACTGAACTGGCAGTTCTCAATGGGGGCTGACTCTATGCCCCAGGGAATATTTGGCAATATCTGGAGACGTTTCTGGTTGTCACACAGGTGGGAGAAAGGTACTATTGGTATCTAGGATATAGACACTGATAAATGTTTCCACAGTAATGAATGGCGCCAGCTGAATGCTGGACAGAGGGACAAAGAACCAGCGAGGTCCTCAAGGCCAGGCCACCAACCATCTCAGTCAGATTAGCAAACCAAGGCCGGAGAGGTTGGTTTTGCTCAAGGCCAATGACAGGGATTCAGAAAACCTGAGATCTGGGTTGTTTTCATTGTGGTAAAGTGCACATAACAAAATTCACCCTTTTATGGTAAAATTGACTTCATGATTATCTATTTGTGGGTTGTGAGAAGATTGATGACTTCCACATGTCTACCGAGTTGGACAGTTTTGTTTTGTTTTTTAATATATTTTATTGACTTTTTACAGAGAGGAAGGGAGAGGGATAGAGAGCTAGAAACATTGATTCAGCTGCCTCCTGCACACTCCCTAGTGGGGATGTGCCCACAACCAAGGTACATGACCTTGACCGGAATAGAACCTGGGACCTTTCATTCCACAGACTGACACTCTATCCTCTGAGCCAAACCGGTTTCAGCGAGTTGGACAGTTTTGAATGGTCCCTAAGCCTGACCCTGGGCAGGGACCCAGCTGATCCCAGACCTGGGGGTCCCACCAGCCTTGGCCATCTGCCCCCTGGGTCCTTGGGCAGCTGCAGACTCCCTCTGCACCGGGGAGTGGGGGCAGGAGACAGTGAGCATGAGCATGCCCAGTGAGCGTGGTGGCTCTTGGCGAGCACGATGAATATCCACGAAGAGGATAAAGTGAGAATAAACGTTATGGGCCAGGTGCCCCCTCTTTGGGAAGCTCTCCCGGGACTTGGGGAGCGAATGTTTGTAGACTGAGTAAACGGGAAACACTTCCTTCCTCAGGCCTAGCCATCTATGCTCTGCTGCTCTTCGAGATCGAGGCGGGAGCAGCCGCCGCCGCCATCCTCGGCTTGGGCGCCCTGGCCCTGGTGGCCGTGCTGACCCACACGCTGCTCCGGGCGGCCCAAGCCAGCCGCCGTGGCCTCCGGGAGCTGCCCCTGCCGCGCTTCGAAGACGACCCCGCCCACTCCGCCGAAGTCTCCAAGGCCGGCCCCAGGGCGCCGCCCCAGCAGGGTACCCACCGCCAAATCCCCTACTCATTCTGCCCGGAACCCGGGGATGCCCTCAGACCCTCCGGCACTGCCTCCGTGCCTGCACCGGCGGGGGGTGCCCGGGAGAGCGGCCTGCCTGCAGCCTGCATGCACCGGACACTGCTGGTCGGCGGGGGGCCCTGGGACGGGGTCACCCATGAGATGCGCAGCATGCTGGGACACAGGCCAGGGGGCTTGGGGAAAGATTCCACGCTGGTGTGAGCTCAGGGGTCAGCGTGGAGAGCTGGTGGTGGGCAGCAGAAAGAGGGCTCTGCGGGGATCAGTCACAGTATCTGCACAGCTTGGTTTCTCTCTCAGTTCATAGCGTCCCTGGCTTTGGCCCTCCACGCTGCCTCATGGCACAGAATGGCTGCCAGGGCTCCCGCCTTCACATCCTCATTCAGAGAGGAAGGCAGAGGCCAGGGCTGGCTCCGCATCTTTCCAAAGTCTTCCCTGGGGGCCTTGGGACCTTTCTGCTTATTTCTCACTGATCAGGACGTGCTGCAGGGGAGACTGGGAAATGCAATACGCAGACAGACACTGCGGTTCTGGGATAGGCAGGAGGGGAGGGTGGGGCTTAGGCAGTGGTTCTCTAAATGTCTCCGTCCATTTTACAGATGAGGAAACCGAGGCCAGAGAGGGGCTGTGACTCACCACGGGTCCCCCGGCCAGTACTGAGCACCAGAGCCAGGTCCTGTAACCCCCATGCTGCTGCCAGTGCAAGTCTCTGCGACTCCTTCCGGCTGTGAGCATTTGAAACCTTGGTGTGCAGAGCTCAGAGGAGCCCGGGGCCACAGCCGCCCTCAGGGGCTGCACCCAGACTCCTGGCTGTGGGTCCGTGGTGAGGGCTTCACCGCTCCGCGTCTCAGTTTCCTGGTCTATAACACGGGGACAGCACCGATCCCTCTGCCTAGGCTCCCATGAGACTCCGTTGTAAGCCATTCCGGGGGCCTGTGCACAGTAGGTTGTCAGTGTGTGGCAGCCTGTGCTGCTGTCAGTCGGGGCACCTGGTAGCTGGGAAAGATGGTCAGGCTCTGGGGCTCACGGACCAGCAGGCTTAGTGGGTAACTCAGAGCCCTGGGAGTCTCCAGGGCCCTGGCCCCACGCCCATCCTGCAAATAAACTCTAGCCTTACTGTCTCCCTGTCACTTAGCCACACCTGAATGGGCTCTGTGGCCAAGCCCAAGCTTGTGTAGGAGTGGGGGGGGGGGGGCAGGAGTGAGGGGGGAAGATAGGAGTGAGGGGAGAGGGCAGGAGGGAGGGGGGGAGGGCAGGAAGGGGAGACCGGGGGTTTGCCCTGGGAACTGTCTCCCACAACTCTTCATGCATATACACTTCACCAGGGGTGGGCATAGTCTGACCCCTCCTCCACACACACACATCCGCCCAAATGTGCAGATGTCCCAGGAATTCTCCAGCCTGCCCCTTCCTGAGCCACGAGGGCTCCAGGGCCCAAGGAGCAGGCTTGGCCTTCCAAGAGTCCTAAGGAAACCCCCTTAGGACTCTTCCCAATGGGCAGGGAAGGGGCAGCACCCAGCAGGACCTGGCCTTGGGCAGGGACCCAGCTGATCCCAGACCAGCCTTGGCCATCTGCCCCCTGGATCCAGGGAAGCTGCAGACTCCCTCCGCCCCGGGGAGTGGGGGCAGGAGGCTGTGCATGAGCATGCCCAGTGAGCGTGGGCTCCTGGTGAGCACGATGAATATCAGCAAAGAGGATAAAATAAGAATAAATGTTATGGGCCAGGTGCTTTCCTGTCCTCGGTTCATCTTCAGGGCAGCCCCTCTCACAGGTGGGGAAACTGAGGCCAGCCAGCAGCAATGGCTGGAACCCCATCACGGAGGATCCAGGACAGAGCAGGTTCCAGAGGATACGGGGGACTCCAGTTTCTAACACTCCCTGGAAGGGGCAGGCCTTGGGGACACAGGGTGGAAGAGAGAGGAGAGAGGAGGAAGGACCAGCTGGCTGCCAGTGCAGAGGCCTCACTCCTGGACTGGTCAGGGGAACTAGAAGCTGGCTCCTTGCCTCACAGCCAGGACTAGGGTGTCAGTACATTGAAGGAGCCCGAGAGGGTTGCAAACAGGTGCTCACACCAACCCTCGTGCACGCACGCTCACAGCTGTTCTAGGACAATCACCAAAAAGCCCGCAAGCTGGTGAATGGATGAGCAAAGTGTGGTCCAGCCACACAAAGGAATGAAGCACTGGCACATGCTACAACCTTCACACTGAGTGAAAGAGCCAGACAGAGGGCCCCATATTGTACGATTCCATCTGTATGAAGTGCCCAAATCATGCAAATCCAGAGATGGAAAGCAGATTGGTGGCTGCCAGGAGCTGGGGCTGACTGCTGGTGGGCCTCCTTTTGGGGTGATGAATGTTCCGGAAGTGTAGAGGTTACGTCACTGCTCAGGGTCACCCGCTAGCTAGCTAGCTTTCTGGGACTGTGTCTCCAGAAAGGTCCCTTGTCCCGCTTGGGAGCGGGGTTCCCACAATGCCTGGCTCTCAGCGCCCAGAAGCGAGCAAAACGCCGGAGAGGTCAGGCTTCATTCCCTCTGCAGCCCAAGATTTTTTTAAAAAAAATATATATATATTATTGATTTTTTACAGAGAGGAAATGAGAGGGATAGAGAGCTAGAAACATCGATGAGAGAGAATCATTGATCAGCTACCTCTTGCACTCTCCCTACTGGGGATGTGCCTGCAACCCAAGTACATGCTCTTGATAGGAATCGAACCCGGGACCTTTCAGTGCGCAGGCTGACACTCTATCCACTGAGCCAAACCAGTTTCAGCTGTAGCCCAAGATGATGTCAACTCAGCCTGAGGCTGTTGGATTTTTTTCCCCCCACAAGTATATTTTTATTGATTTCAGAGAGGAAGGGAGAGGGAGAGACAGAAACATTAATGGCCAGTTGCCTCCTGCACACCCCCTACTGGGAACTGAGCCCGCAACCTGGGCATGTGCCCTTGACCAGAATCAAATCCAGGACCCTTCAGTCCGCAGGCCAAGGCTCCAACCACTGAGCCAAACCAGCGAGGGCGCCTGGGGCTGTTTGGATTGATGGCCCTGATCCCTCTGGGACGCTGTGAGGGCCAGGCCCAGCAGGGCACAGAGGGTGGGGATTTTGCAGGGTCATGTGACAGCTGGTCCAGTTAGACCATGGCCAGCACAGGTCACCCGAGGGCCGCGATCACACAGGCTGCCCTGGAAAGTGATCCAGGGATGGTTTCGGGGTAGCCGAGAAGGCAACCAGGGAAAACAAACAGCCTCTGCTTTCCAGCCAGATTGAATTCCGGGCCGGCGCCAGAGCAGCCGGGCGGGCCTGGCAGGGCAGAGCCCGCAGGGGAGATGTGAGATAGCTCAGCACCGGAGGCCTAGTTTTCTCAGGGCAGCGGAGCGCGTGGGGGAGGGCCCACCTGTGCCTGGCTTCCCCCGCCCCTCCCAGACAGCTGTCTGCCCTATTCCACCCCAGAGGGGCTGGCCCCCAGACTCCAGAGAGGGGCTGCCCCCCCCCCCAGACCCCAGAGAGGGGCTGCCCCCCCCAGACCCCAGAGAGGGGCTGGCCCTCCCCCCAGACCCCAGAGAGGGGCTGCCCCCCCCCCGACCCCAGAGAGGGGCTGCCTTCCCCCCCCCCGACCCCAGAGAGGGGCTGCCCCCCCCCGACCCCAGAGAGGGGCTGCCCCCCCCCCCCGACCCCAGAGAGGGGCTGCCCCCCCCGACCCCAGAGAGGGGCTGCCCCCCCCGACCCCAGAGAGGGGCTGCCCCCCCCAGACCCCAGAGAGGGGCTGCCCCCCCCAGACCCCAGAGAGGGGCTGCCTTCCCCCCCCCAGACCCCAGAGAGGGGCTGCCTTCCCCCCCCAGACCCCAGAGAGGGGCTGCCTTCCCCCCCCCCAGACCCCAAAGAGGGGCTGCCCCCCCAGACCCCAGAGAGGGGCTGCCCCCCCAGACCCCAGAGAGGGGCTGCCCCCCCCCAGACCCCAGAGAGGGGCTGCCCCCCCCAGACCCCAGAGAGGGGCTGCCCCCCCCCAGACCCCAGAGAGGGGCTGCCCCCCCCAGACCCCAGAGAGGGGCTGCCTTCCCCCCCCCCCGACCCCAGAGAAGGGCCGCCCCCCCCCCGACCCCAGAGAGGGGCCGCCCCCCCCCGACCCCAGAGAGGGGCTGGCCCCCCCAGACCCCAGAGAGGGGCTGCCCCCCCGCCCCAGACCCCAGAGAGGGACTGCCTTCCCCCCCCAGACCCCAGAGAGGGGCTGCCTTCCCCCCCCAGACCCCAGAGAGGGGCTGCCCCCCCCCAGACCCCAGAGAGGGGCTGCCCCCCCAGACCCCAGAGAGGGACTGCCCCCCCCCAGACCCCAGAGAGGGGCTCCTCCCCCCCCCCCCTCTCCCCGAGCAGAAACCCTCTTCCCTCAGACCGCTGTGCAGGGCGGTCTCCCCACTCAGACTCCTGGGGTAGTGTTGTTAGACATCAGGGCCTGGTTGGGTGGTTTGTCCCTTTAAGTCCCAGGGGACCGATTCTGGCCAGTGAGCTGTGACCTGAACTTGAACAAGGTACCTCCTAGCCAGGCCATTTAACCGATAGTGCCGGGCTTTTCTGAGCCCGCCCGCCCAGGACAGATGGTGGCTGCCCCTCCAGGTGATTTCCACACAACGACCGACCCGCAGAGCCCATGGTGTGGATGAGATTTCCTGAGCCAGAGACACCCGGGCTTCCCTGAGGCTGCGGGGACGTAGGGAGAGCAGAGGAGGCGCACACACGTGGCAGGGGGGCCTGGGGCAGGTGACGTCACAATTCCCGCCCACCCTCATTATTCGCGATCCCGTGTTCGCACGCTGTTCTCTTATGGCTGAAACGTATCTGTAAACCCCAAACCCAAACACTCCTGTGCTTCCGCGGTCCCCGGAGGACATGGGCAGCGGGGGCGGGACAAGGTGGCAGCCCGCCGCTGCTCCAGCTCGGCCTGTACACAGTCCCCTTTGTGGCCTGCTCTCCCCGTTTCTGTGCTTCCTCGGCATTTCGCCCTTTAGAAAGGCCCCCACGCGTGGTGCCCCCGGGCCCCGGAGGCGGCCTCCTCCGCTCAGGGAAGGCCCGTGTGAGGGGAGCTCCGTTCAGGGAGTCACTGCTGTTGGCAGCGAGTTCACTGTGGACGATGCGGCAGTGAACCCGGCTCTGCGGGTCGGTCGTTGTGTGGAAATCACCTGGAGGGCAGCCACCATCTCCTGTCCGCGGCTGGCGGACTCAGAGAAGTCCGGCACTATCAGTTGAATGGCCTGGGTGTCAATCACTCGACAAAAATGTGACCCAGCTGCTCACAGAACCCCACCCATTTCCCTGAGGAACCCAATATCTACTAACTCGGTTTTCTCTGCAGTTTTATAAACGGGAACTTCTGCGAATAACGAGGGCCGGCCAGTGTACCCACAGCCCAGGTGTGACCGAGGCTGCCCGCTGCCTCGGGGCCACCGTCTGTGAGACGGGGACACGGCGGGCTTCCCACGGGCTGTGGGAGGATTGGTGAGACAGCCGTCTCAGGCGCTGCGAGGTGGTCCCCGGGACACTCGAAGCCGTTACCGTTACGTTACTACACTCAAGGGCGGGAAGCAGGACGGGGTCTTCCTGTGACCTGGACTCCGGGCCTCAGTTTCCACTCGGCAGGACGGGAGGAGCGGCAGGGCCACCTCCGCTGGGATCTCACACGCCTCTCGGGTGCACGGCTGTCCGGCTCGCACGAGGTGAAGGCCACGGCCACACGCAGGACCAGGGTCGGACTCCGGACGCAGAGTGCATAGTGTTTATTGCCCAGAGGACAGCCCGCGGCCTCCGGGCACAGAGAGTCTTGACACAAATGACGTGAAGGCACCGTTTCCATCTGGCCCCACCTCTGCCCTTTGGGGCCCGGGCCAGGAGACCCCCTCAGGCCAGGCAGGTCCACCCCCGCCGGGCTAGCAGCTCCCCATGTGGCTGAGGTTCCAGAATGCCCAGTGCGGCCAAGGCCCCCAGCACGAGCTCGGGTGGGGCAGCTGCCAGTCCTGGGGGTGTGGGTGGGGCCTCTTCCCTAGAACAGGAAGGGCTAGGACACACTGGGGGGCAGGCGTGCGGCTGCTGTCTTCTCCACCACGAAGCCGTAGTTGTACTGA